TTCCTTTTAACTGTCTGTGGGGATTTAAAAGTACAGTTGGCAGGAATGCAACCATGTGCCATCAGTTTATGAAGGTAAAAAAGAGGATTGCAGAACTGATGTGATTAGCAAATATGTTTTCTTCTAGTTGTAAAAGACACGTGCAAACTACAGGAAACAGGATTTCGTAAGTACACAGAAAATATGAAAACAATTCTAAAGTTTCTCTTAGGAAACACTGAACCAGAGCCAACTATTTCTACATAATTTATTTCAAGTCATAAACCTGAATTTGCCTCAGTAAATCATATGGGCTCAGTCTTATTTCACATTCCTGGAATTCAACTGCTAAAGTCTATCAGAGGTGACATTTACAACAATGATTTGCTCAACAAACATAAACCACGCTCCTTCTAATGAATATTTTTAGAATTTCAAATTCTTACAATATTGCTTTTGGATTTTAAAAATCCCACAGAGCACAGACTTTGAAAATTTAGAATTATTTAACCTAACTAAACCTAACCGCAGAGATATATTAATTCAATTTTTTTATCTTAAAGTTAAATAGATCACTTGCAATTTTATCCCAGCTTCTACACTCAACAAGGAGTGATTAATGTACCTTTGTAACATAAGTCTTAGGTTAGAAGGGAAAAAAACAGTTAACTAGAAGAATCCCTTTATCTATTAAAGAGACAAGATTATAACTCAAGAGATAGGAAGACATCAATGAAGCATAAAAGGCCTGGAAATTAGGTGGTAGAATCTGTTTCTAAAACTAATTTCAAAGTTTTTTTTCTTTCTTTAGAACCAGTGGCCACGAAATAAGGAAAAGCGGAGGAAAAAACAATACTTTGCTGAGTGAACTCAATTCTCTTATAAACATTTGACTGCATGTTTCCATTTAATCAACAGTTCCCTGGTCCAAGGAAAAAACAGTGGAAGTCAACAGTTAACTATTAGAATCACTTGAACATTAAGCACCCCATTTCAACTTCAATTTTGTGTTTTCTTGCTTCCCCCTCTATTTTTAAGTAAGTCATTAGAATGCCTCCTTTCCAATAATAAAGCCAAACAGCTCTTGAGTACTTATCTTCTGTTCTTATAGAATTGTCTTTCCTCAAGAAGGGTAATAGATAAAGGTAAGGGTAGAAGCTTATGGAAAGGTAAAGGGTTGGCTGGCTGGTTGACTCATTCATTCATTCATTTATGGTTTGTTTCTAAGCTTTCTATCCCTAGAGCAGTATTTTGGAATGGTGAGACTTAGGACTGGGGTTGTCCTTGCTTAAAATGGTAAGATGGGATTAGACAGCGTCCTGACCAATAGAAAACAGATGCTGGCTGCGAATCATGCTTGAAAGGAAAAGCAATGAGAGGGGCTGAGTCATAAGAACAGAAGAGCAGGCAGTGATTTGTAGTAGAAGCAATATATGAAAAGCATGCATTTGGCTGCCTGGAAATCTAAGTATCACCTAGAAGGCAGCAAAATGGAGGCTGGTCTGACAAAGAGAAGGAAAACCCTTCACATAGGGCTGTAGCACACTTACAAAGATGTAACAAGTATACTTTCATTTCATTACAATAGCTGTAAGCAGAAAAGGTGACATTTAAGGAATAAGGTAGCTTGGATCTCACTTTATGGTAATCTCCCTCAGGAATCCACTAAGAATAAGTAGTCAGTCAGTCAATGCAAGTGACAAAGCACGTATAACAACTGTGAAGTACATATCATTACTTGGAGATCTTCTCAAAGAAATAGAATATGCTGCCCTCCCTTCCTGGAATTAATCTATGTACTCAGAAGGATGGCAATTAAATTGAAAAGACACTGAAAAAGACAGTATCAAATCAGCGCAGAGTCAGAGGAAGAAACAAAGCGTAGGAAGGCTGTCAAGACATGACTCCAGTCTATAAGAAGAGTGAAATTTGTGACTTGGCTTCACTGAAACTCTGACCCCTACCAGCAGTTTCATAGCATACAGCCTCTGTTAAGTTAGGGCTCTACCTGGAAGTATAAATGAAAGCCTATCATGAAAAACTTCACAGTGATTTAAGAAGCAACTGGGTAACTCCTCAGAGTCAGATAAAAATAAATTTAAGCAACCAAACAACCAAGGATTTGGAATACAGGGGGAAAGGAAAGGCTTGGCAGTCAATAGGACACAGGAAATAAGTTAAGTATACTTCAGTCAGGTTTGCATCTATGATGGTAGTGATGGAAGGAAATAAATGGGGAAAATCAGAAGGCTGGGGTTGGCTTTATATTTACTAAATCAAACAGGAAATAAATGCCAGCAAATTAAGAGTAACAGACCTATGGAGGAGAAAGAACATGATACATAATGGCTCTAGACTCCCACTCACAATTAGTGGGCAGATGGAAAGCAGCAAGTCATAATGAATTTGTTTGTGAGGCATGAAAATAACTTAAAAAAAAATCCTTTAAGACAAATCCAGAGCAGCACTATGTAACAGAAATAAAATACAAGCCACCAGTGACACTGAATTTTTCTAGGAACCACATTTTTAAAAAGGCAACAAAATGTTAGTAATTTGGTTTATGTAACCTACATCTCCACAAAGCTGTTTTTCAATATGCAATCAATATAAAGTTGTCAATGGGAATTTATGCTATTTTTATTGTACAGAGTCTCTGAAATCAGGTGTATATTCTATTATTACAGCACAACTCAGTCCTATACTGGCCTCACATCCGGTACTCAGTAACTCATGTGGCTAGTGATACTGAACTGGACAGTCTTGGTCTAGAATATTTAATAACATAAGGTAGTCATGGCATCAGGGAATATCTGAAGTTCAAAAGGTTTGAACAAAACTACTGCATGTGGTTAGAAGCTGGCAAGCTAAGTTTTAAAAATCCAGCAGTTCTAAACTTCTTACTGAAGGTACTCAGGGAAATGCAAATCAAAACTACAATGAGATACTATCTTACACCAGTGAGAATGGCACATACTTAAAAAAACTAGCAACAACAAATGTTGGCGAGGTTGTGGAGAAAAAGGAACTCTCCTGCATTGCTGGGGGGAGTACAAACTGGTCCAACCACTATGGAAAGCTGTGTGGAGATTTCTTAACCTACTAAAGATAGAGCTTCCATATGATCCAGCAATTCCACTCCTAGGTATTTACCCGCAGGACACAGAAACATTAATTCCAAAGGGCACCTGCACCCCTATGTTTATAGTAGCACTGTTTACAATAGCTAAGCTATGGAAACAACCCAAATGCCTAAAAAACAGACAACTGGATCAAGAAGATGTGGTACATATACCATGGAATATTACTCAGCAATCAAAAAAGATAAACACATGCAGTTTGCAGCAACATGGATGGAGCTAGAAGGGATCATGCGCAACGAAATAAGTCAGAAAGAAAAAGAAAAATACCAGATGGTTTCACTCATAGCAGGAATTTAGAAAACCTAAATAAGGGACCAGGAAGAAGACTAATTAATACAAAGTAAAAATAAAATCAACAAGCAACTATAAACCAGAGACACACTATGGATGGGGGCTGGGGAGAGGAAGGATTAGGGTCAAAATAAGGGGCAGGGTGGGAATTATATGGGGAATAAAACCAAAATTAAAATGCATACACTGTGCAAAAATGAAAAATGATGTAAGAATTATATAAAATAAAATATTTTTTTAAAAAATGAAAAATGATGTAAAAATATATAAAATAAAATTTAAAAAATTAAATTAAATCATCTGGTCTATACCCAATATTAGCAAGTTTAATTCTTTTACAGAAAAAGTGAAGACAAACATACATGACAGTTTCTAAGATATATTGTTACTGCATTTTTATTCTACTTCTACCATCATCTCATAGTCCTTTGGGACTCTCCCTGCAATAGTTAGTGCAAATTTCTTGTTTATTTAGTGGTAGATGTAGAACTTAGTTTGAATCAAATAAAATCTAAGATACCTCCCCAACTCTTGGGAGAGGGAGGAGAAAACTGACCTCAGCACCCATCAGAGCCTGCGGTTGCCAAGAGTATGAGGTGTGAGGCTCATGGCTTTCATTAGGCTGAACACAAAGTTTCTGTCTGCAGTTACTTTTATTTGTAGGTCATTTTAGGCTAGCAAGATCTACATAGGCCTAAGAAAAAGATCAGAAATTAAAATTCTGGTTCTTCTACTTGCCAGGCCAACTTGGACTAAAATACAAATATTTTTACATTCAAATTATTTTAACAATCAGTCTTAGAAAATACTGCATTCAGTTCAAATAGCAGCTTACTTAACTTGAAGCTTACATCAATGAAAGCACAAAACTGCCTGGTTTTCTTTGCATCAACATGTAATTGAAGGGGACATAGGGAACAAACAATATCCACCAAGTTTTTGTCCAATTATCAAGCTTAAAGGTTTACTATATATAATCTAGATATGGCACATGATGTAATATCTATAATGCTACTAGTATAATACAACTGTGTAACATATATAGTAAAATGTTCTATAGTATTTCAGGTCCCTTTTGAACATTGTGCATGCATTTTTCTCTGCACGACACTGCTGTCAATATCACTCACCTCCTTAGCCGAGTTCACTATGTGAATCTGCATACTTACTTTCCAGTATAATAATGTTACTTACAGCTCTAGGTAGTGAAGCATATTTGTACTGGACTGCACATATAGATTTCTGTCCATTACACCTATTCCACACAACAGCCATGAATCTAAGCATATCAGTCATTTGCTTTTCAGCAATGAGTAACAATTTAGAGGTTTCAAGACTTGGTACTACTGAATAAATTCAGATATGTGGCTTTGTTTCCAATGAGAAGCAGTACAATTTTAGAGAAAGTTATAGCTACAAGAGTGTCGTAGCATAGGGAAACACATAGAATGTTGACTGCGTGTTTTAATTAAAGTTAGGGAGTGAACAGAGAGGAAAACAAAGACAGATAATTTCCTTCTTCTACAGAAAAAGAAAAGAAAGGCCCTTAAATGAAGTGTAGGGAATGTGTCAGACCCACATACTCACCAGCATTGGAGCCAGTCAAATTATAACGTGCATTCAGCTTTTTGATAATGTTTTCATGGATTTGGTACCACTCACTCTCTGTGTTACACCTAAGAAAACATGGACACTCAGTTACACGTCACGATGCATGAGCTTTAGCAAGGACACCATGGCATACCCATCCATTTAGTAATAACCACCATAAACTAACCCTAAACCTCCCCAACTCTAAGGAGTCTCCTAAAAACCCATTGCAAGTGACGGTCAGTTGTAGCATGGTCACTCAATGGTGAGCAGGAATGCCATACCTGCCTCCCTTTTGCCAGAGGTGGTTGGGATGAACACCTCACAGATTATGAGTTAGCCCCTGCTCCCTAAAATGTCAGACAACAATGCAAGCAGAAGGCAGTGAGACTAAAAGTCAGACAGCATGCAAATCCTCACTATGAACTAAGCTGCATGCTTTGGCTGAGTTATTTACCTTCTCTGTTCCTTGATTTTTTTCAATTTTGAAATGTGAGTAACATTAAATAAGCTAGAACATTAAATAAATTTAGGCTTAAGATAATACCTGGCACATAGTAAATAATATCTGCTAGTTCTCATTAACATATCTATACCTACTATAATAAAACCAATTTTGGCTAATAGCAAATGAAGCAAAAAGAAAAATGAAATTGAAGTTAATGTGAATTGCACAAGCAAAAGGTTGGCAGAATTCACCAAAGGGTAATTCAAGTACCCTCGCAGCTTTTCCATCTTCTGTGACAGCCATAACTACCTTGTCTATTTAGCATGTGTCACTTGCTAGCTTATGTTATCTTTGTCTACATGGTTTAGTTCACCTAAGAGACATTTTAGGTTCTGGAGGATTGGACCTCAGACTGGGTAATATCCCTACCAGGACTTTGATTCCTGTGGGTGCTTAAGAAGTAACAGTTGCATGAATGAACAGACGGATGTGCCCCTGGCTGGCAACTGCAGATAGTTCATAAACATCTGGGTCTATATCCTTCTTGACTGCTATGACTCTAACCAATTAGTCAGGGGAGGACCTCCCTCATCTAAACATTTCATAAATTCACTAACATATCTCATTAACTATAAATGATTCCCTCCTAAAAGTCCTGAAAAATCAAGATTCTATATGCCATTAATCAAAATTTTTGACACTGCAGATTCTTTTCCCCAGTGATTGCATCTGTAGCTGATAATTCACAATTTGCTTAAAAATTTATTTATATCATCACCATAGGCTTTTCCAGGATGAACATGATGGAGATTATTTTCAAACCAGTTAACAGTAGGGTACCAAACACAACAGTGAATCTTGGAAGGTCAGAAAATTAAGATGAAATGAAACCATCCCACCTGTCCAGCTGTAAGATACCATTTAGTACTTTCTGCCTCCGGTTTTCTTATTTCAGCTCAGTGGGGAAGGAAGGAAGATGGTTTGCTTTCTATTAGATAGTTAAGTGACTCCAGAATTCATGCTTTTAACCTACCAAACTCCAAATAAAATCAAAACTTCTAAAGTATGTGACTAACATATTTTCCAGGCTCAGATGAGGTATTTGTTATATTTTTATATTTGAGTCCCAGATGGGTTAGGAATTCAGACACCTTAGCAAATATAAATTTCTTCCAAATTGTCTCTAATAGGCTCTTCCCTAAATGTTTTATGCAATTCACAGTTCTTCTTAATCCACTGTGACTGTTTTGACTGGTTGGTATTCTTTTGGAAGAGTTTCATAATTTATTGAACTGGCATATCTAACAGTATTGAATTGGAATATCTAATAATATTCCAAAACCTTGTTTGATGCTTAGAAAAAAAAATAAATAAAACTCAGATGATAAAAACAACAAAGAGGAGTACAATTTATTTTTATGAGTGCAAGTGTCTCCCATAGGCAGGGTTGGAATTTGTGGTGTCTTCTTCAACTGGCTGCACACTCAAGAGTGATACAAGCACTGCTGTCCCTCCATTTTCCCAATGGCAAGAAAAATACTGCATTAGCTCCTCACACCTGGAAAGACTACTCTAAGAATTGCTGGGATTGTGAGGAATTTTTGTTTTCTTAAAAAGCAATGCCACACAAAAGTATCTGAGATAGAGGTGTGAAGCAACACTCATAAATGTACAAGCTGGTAAACAGAGAGGTCAGGTTCTGCTATCACAGTCCTGACTGCAAATCTGGTTCCTGTTCTTACTAGCTGGATGACTTCAGGGAAGTTATTTTGCTTCTCTGTCCCTTTATATGCAAAACTCAGCCAATGGCATCTGGTTTGTGATTTGGTTGGGAAGAAGAAGTGACTTGACAAATGCAAAGTACTTAACACAGTTCCTCACACATAGTAAGCAACCAGGAAATGGGGGCCAGCCTCATCAGTATAATTTTGAATAAATTATGTTTTATGACTACTAGTAGAGTTTGGAAAGAAGACTATCATGGGCTTAAGTCCAACTGAAGGCTGACATGTGATAAAATGAGTAGCAAGTTTCATTTCTAGTTTCACCAGAAGTTTTCAAGATTTAAAATCAAGGTCACAGATTTTATTCCCCTTAAAAAAGAGGAAGACAGTTTCTGGTCCTAAACCACAGGCTCTAAATAAATCTTTATCAACTAATTAGCAAACATGTGGCACATAAATTCCCAGGCATTGGTATAGAATGGATTAATCCATGAAATTCTGCACATATAGTCAAAAAACAAGCTGAAATGTATAACGCACAGGCAGTAGGTTGATTTTGTAACCTCCACATATGAAAAACCACTGGCATATACTGAATATATTGGACACTATTGCTAGCACAGAAAACTGAAAGCAAACTCATTTATTGAGGTAGCAAGGGGTCTGGTCCTCATTGCAGCAATGTGCCTCAGGCTACAATGGATCTGCTCTGAGGATGCCACTATATGACAACTCTCGATGGCCACACTTGTGGTGATGTGGTCAGAGAGGGGTGACTAAATCTCAAGCATTTTAAAAATCATTTACTTGGGATTTCACATATGAAGTGATTTTATTAGTTCAGTGTTTTGGGTTGAACTATTATGTCATCCCAAAAAGATAATGTTGAGGTCCTAACTATACTTCAGAATGTGAACTTTCTTGATAGAGGGAATGGGCCCTAACCCAATGGGAATGTGTCCTTATAAAAGTGAGATAAGTAGATACAGTAACAAATACACAGACTGGGAGAAAATTATATGAAAATGAAGGCAGTGATCGAGATGCTTCTCCAGTCAGAGAATGCCAAAGATTGCCAGCAACCCATCAGAACTGAGGAGAGAGGCATGGGAGAGATTCTCCCTCACCACCCTCAGGAAGAACCAACCTGCTCACACCTTGATCTGGGACTTCTAGCTTCCAGAACTGTGAGAAAATTAATTTTCTGTTATTTAAACCTCCCTGATGATGAGCATTTTTTAGGGCAACTCTAGCAATCTAATTTATGAAGTAGGAGGGAAATCACTTAAACATCTCTCTCCTTACTCTTGCTAATTCTAATTGATTTACATTACAACTGTCTCCATTTTCTAAGAACAAATCAACCTCCTGGAAGTAGTGAAATATTCCAGTTTTTAAAGAAGTTACTCTACACAGTGGCCAATCCACCCAACTCATAAACAGGTTTATTCTCTGATTTACAATTGTAAATCTACTGACTGGCAAATGGTGATTTGTGGACTCACTTGCAGCAAGTTTATAGATTATTCAGGCTTTGCAGAATGTCTATAAACTCAGCCCCTCCCCACTTGCTCTTATTCTACCCATGTACAGTAGCATTCCCCAGATAGGAGGCATGGGTGCCCCCACACCTGCCCCACTGCCCACCACATCCTTGCTGCTTACATGTACACTTTCAGGACGAGGTCATCTTTTGTCTCTCCAGTCAGCAGATCAGCAATGCTAAGAACTGCACAACCAAAGGGTCGCCGGTACTGGACACTACAAGCATTCTTTTTTTCACCTGCCCCCATTCGACCTGTCAATTAAAAAGCAAACATACTCATGGGGCCATCTGATTAGCACATTATAAATAGATATGCAGAATTACAACATAGGCCATTCCAAATGTAACTGAGTAGTGGAGAGGACTCAGGTTTGGGGCAACAGAAGATGCTGCTTCAGTTCTCGACTCTTCCTCAACCACCTCTCTGTATGACCTTGGGCATATCACTTAAGCTCTGGGCACCAGCTGCCATCTATTAAACATTAAGGCTGAAGTTGATTTCAGGGATGGGGATCCCCCACAAAGGATTCATGAAGACACACCATAAGTTTCAGTATGGGTACTTATTTCATTCCATATTTTAAAAACGATTTCAAATTTTTACTATGAAAGGAAACAGCTTGAGAGCCCCTGAAGGAAAGGCAAGTAAGCATAGGCAATCAAGTGAGCAAACTCTTTGTGTTGACTGTAACTACATTACTGAAACTTCCTGGGGTGTTTTTGACTCTTACATGATTTCAACTTGTATAACTTGCTATATACATATATATATATATATATTAAAGATTTATTTATTTATACATACAAGAACTGGGGTACAGGCCACAGTTTTGGGAGGTGAGAGGATTCACCAGAGACAGAGTGGGGAACAGAACAGGCAGATCGACTGAAACACACTGCCAAGGGGAGCAGCGGGTGAGTCAGGAGAGGTCTGCTGGGCCATGTGGGTCACCTTCCTGGCCGGGGATCAAACTTGTGCTGTAGTGGCTGTGGTGAGCTTCACAAGTTGCATCTTAACCCCTGGTGCCACCAGGGAGGCCCCACTTGGTATATATTTTTAAAGATGCAATTAAGAATACTGTTTTAATTTGTTTTTGCTCTTTATCACTATTATTTTTGAGGCAGAACTATAGCAAGTTAATGTGATGAAAAATAATGAAAAAAAAATCTGCAAATCTGTCTGCAGATACTTAGCACTAAGTTGTTCCCATCTGAGTGAAATTCTCCTATAACAAACCCATACATTTCCAGCACTTCCAAAATCCAATGTTAAATAGATGGAACTATTGCTACAACCTTCATTCATTGATAATAAAGGAAAACTAACCTCTACAATATATTATTTTCAAAGAAATGCTTATGAATAGCAGCCCGAAAACCTCTCATTTTACCAGTTAGAATGAAAGTGAAAAACTGGTCAAAATAAGTCAGTTGCATTTTAGATGTGCAAAATGCAAGAATTTAAAATATGATGTTTTCATAATTTGATGCTTTAAAATAACTAAAATTCAAATGTACATTTAACATAAATTTTACCGACAAGTACTCATATTTGAATTTTATTTATCAACAAATCACACTTTTACTTACAGAACTGATTTAAACAAATTTAAAGTTTTAGTCACTCATTAAATGGGAAAAAGACAGTTTATCTCTACTTTGAATGTTATTATAGATTGGTATTAGGATGAAATAGAAAAACCATGTATTATCAAAATCATGATTTAGAAGACAATTATTTCTTACTAAAATAATTTCTTTGTAAATGTAAGATGTTAAAGTAATTAGAAGATTTCAGGGAGGAGTATTTCATAGTTATTTAACATCATAAAAGAAATTCATCACTAAAAAAAAAGAAAAACCAGAAACGCCAAAGATTATTGCCTAGCAATCGGGCAGCTCCCTCTTCCTAGGTGTACACAATGGTGCATGACATGCACATGAGTTCCATTTTCTTTCACCTCTTTCAGTTAGAACCTTGGGGGAAATAAAACTACTGTGGGTGCTTGGGGAGAACAGCCAACATAAGGGAGATGCTAGAATGTTCTGCCAAAACCAGAGACGACTCTGGGGAGGTTTCTGTTACTCTCCTCAACAGCTGTGCAGCACAACTCCCAAACCTCCACACCACCCACATCCTCAGACACTGATGTTAAGTTTCCTTTCCTGGCTCTGTGGACACCACAGATCTGGATACCAAACCTTTGGTCTAAGTACTGTGCTGAAAAGATGATTTGGTGCCAGCTGTGGTGTTTCCAACTCCAGGATTAAACAGGAGTCCACAGTGCAGGTCAGATTTCTAGGAAAATTCTCTAAGTACAAAAGAAAGAAGGTAGTAATAGAGGAAGGTCAAAATATTTACCAATATGCTAAAAGTCAAAAGGAGAAACCCAGAAGTAGAAAGAACTTAAGTAGGATGGGCAGGAGGGTATGATACTACTACTTTTTTTTCCTTTCCTTTCCAGTCAAAGATCCAGTCTTAAATTACTAGAAGCAAAGTGCTACTGTTTCTGCTCACTACAGTAAGAGAGAGTCAGCATATGCTTTTCCCACTGAACAAGTACAAGGAACATTCTAGAAAAAATAATTCTCTATGCCTCATAAAAAAGGATTCTTCACCTCTTCATTTCACTACAGTTGGGCTTAATCTTACCCTTTCTTAGAATATCTTACCTTAAATCTTGTTTCTCCTCAGTCTCAAAATGCTGAACCACTAAATATACTCATTATGTAAGGTTTTGAAGTAATGTCGGAGAAACATTAATTTGATCAAAGCTGGGGGTCGGGGGATGGGAGAGAGGTCATTTCTAATATGCAATATTCATTGTGTTAACTTAATAATCATAAAAATCTTAGTAAAGAATATAATCATTAGTCAAACACCATGTGTTTGGAAAGCAGTCACAGGAAGTGAACTAGGGCTGAAGTGGCTTCCTTGTTAATAATCTTGTGAGTGAAGGGCACAGGCACTCAGGCCACAGGCCAGCAGGGGATATAGTCACTCTCAGGTATTTCTACCACCAAAAAACCCTGTATATAATGGTTAAAGAAGCTACAGTGGTTTACTTTTTCTCTTCATATTTTAGAAAATTATATTCAAATTTTAGCAATGTTCACATGAAAATATACAAAATCACATTTTAAACAATTTGAATTTGAATTACAATTTGAATTTTTAAAAATTACAATTAAAAATTACAATTAAAAATTACAATTTGAATTTTTAAAAAACCACAAAGAATTACATAATATACTGTACCCCTGCCATCTGGGAATAGACAGAATCTTTATCTCATAAATACACAGTGGCATGCACTGCACTTTGTCCAATATTTTAAAAGATTCTTTCCAATTTTCCCCCCACATATTCATTTATGAAAAGGAAATTAAAACAAACCAAAACAGTTAAGTTTTTTTCTTTCTATTTTGGTTACTCCTCATAGAAAAATAGCATTAAATGAAAATGTGTTTTCTGGACACATTTTTATGAGAAAGAAATCTATAGAAAATCTATAATGGAATGACAACATGTTTTACCATCTCAATCTCAAAGCAAAAAGTGATTATCATGTACATGAAATAAAAGGCAATGGCAAAAAAGATCACCATGCAGGACTACATAACAAGGTGTGCCCAGCCCATTGAGCCACACAAGTAATGCAGTAGAGTGAGTGAAGAAGTAGGAACCAATTCTAGTTACGTTGGTTAGCATTCATGGAAAAATGGTACAGGGTATATGATCCCTCATTTTACCTAGCTCCTGAGCTATAAAATGCCTGCTTTTCGAGGAACCTAAAGTAAAAAAGCACTGAACATATTTTGGTTCTGTTGTGCAAGTTCATGGCAGAACACACAAAGAGTTCTGCAAATATTACTAAACATGACATATTAATGTATCCACAGTCAAATCAAATTTGGAAAAAGCTGGGGTCAACAAAGTTAGAGAGGCACTTTTTGTTTTTCCCTGTAGGGCTTCTCCCATACTTTAATAAGCTGAAGATATTATTATAAGTGAAAAATATATGTTCAGCATCTCAATAACCCTCTTATTGTAGCATCTTCTGTAATAATGCTTGGGCAGGATCATACAATCTGAAAAATGTCAACTGGTGTAAAGTTTTCATAAGCTTGTAGGGAACCCAGTTCCTAAATGTTTACTTATGCTGTCAACAGAAATGAGAATTTTAAAAAGATAAATACCAGATTTTTTAATTGGATATGTTTAGAGAGTCCAATGAAACACTACATATTATCTAATGACATACATGGGAAGAGAAAAACATCCATTTATGGTGGGTGACTTTGGGGAAGCCAGGGAACAATTCCAAAAGTTTGGGTTTCACTGATTCAAATCTGGATTTGATTTCTTTCTGATCCAGATAACAAATAAATCATAGCTTTATAGCTATCTCTCAGTGCTTCTTCTCCAGGTGGTATCCTTGTCACACTGACAAGTGTAGTACCTACCGATTCGGATGATGTGCACGGTGATATAAATGTCCCTTCTTAGCTCACTGCTACCCAAATCCTACCAAAAAACAAAGCACGGTTATGTGTTGAAATACATAATGTATGTGGAAGCATTTAAAGGGCACAACACATCATTTTCAAAAATAATAGAAGACGAAGATGAACATAGAAGTTCTTAATGGAATTTCTGTGGCAGAACCATAATTCAAAATCTGTTCTAAAAATGAAACCAACTTGACTTGATGCCAAGTAATACTAAAAAGGAAAGCCAATTCTCCTTTCAATCTCTCAGTCACTCCTTTAAACATTTATTAAGCACGTATTAAACACAAGGTTGCATGCTGAGCCCTATCACCACTGTAATTTGGGCAAATAGCATAATAGGCTCTAATTATTATATATATATATAACTTACAATTTTATAAATTATAATTTCATGTAATTACATTTTATAATTTTATATAATTATCATTTATTATATAAAGTAACAAAGGTGTGACTGTGAATGGTGGTATTTGGAATTCTGGGCATTACTGTAATTTGTATGTTGTTTACAAAGTTTAAGCAAATTCACTATGTTTCCTCCCAGTAATTTATTCTTCTTAAATAATACAATTGGGAGAATCCATCTCATGGATAAAACAATCTCCACTTACCACAAAAAGAGAGCAATGCCGTTCTGGTTTATCTGGGGCTTTGGGAAGTCCATTTCTATTCAGCCTCAAGAAAAATCTCTCACTATAAGAGAAAATAAAGTTTTATATTTTGAAAATCATTTAATATTTAAGGACTTACCAATTTTTTAGTTGTTCTTCATCTTAAGAGTTAAGCTCTACATTAATAAGGTCATTCATTAAACAATCAAAATTATATAAATTAGAAGAGCACCTATGAAATGTTTGCGTAATTTCTGAAAAAAATGGCAACACATTAACTGGGAAAGCAGAAAACAAATATATATGCAAACAAAAATTAATTTTTAAAATAACAGGTTTCCATATCAATGATATCATTGTTAGCATTTTGAAAGTAGAAATAAGAACACACAGAATAAATATCACCTAATATGTTTCACGTGTTTGTACCTATTTCATGTGTTTAGTCATATTATTTAACATATAAGAATGACACCATCTGAGTGCTAACCATCCATTAGAAGGCTTAGAATGTTATGCTAAATATTAGTATTTTTATTTTATTTTTATGCTAAGGCTTAGTATTTTATGCTTTTGCAAGTTTGTAATCCAAAATATAAAGTGTCCAAGAAATGAAACTCAAATTTTTTTTGATCTACAAATGAACATATAAGACCTCAGCCTACCCCTAGTACTCCCATTGGAAAGTACAGTACCATCTAGATTTAATGCAAACAAATAATACTGTTCATCAGTCACTAATATAAACCAATAGAAACTTGGAGACACCATTTAGATCCAAGGTAATGTGTTACACTATGTTTTAAAAAATAAAGTGAATATCAACCCAAGAAAAATTAATCTACCAGCTACCATGAGCATCTGAATCTCAGTATCCATATGCCAATGATAAAAATCAAGTGATTGGCTCCCCGGGGCAAAGAACACATGGTAATATTCATGGAAACATGAAATTAGAACAAGGCATGGTCTTGGTCAGTGTAACTTCAGCCCAGAGGACAAGCAGGGAAAGGGGTTGTCAGACATGAGTGAAAGGCTCCGAACCAACCAATTCTCTACGCATATTCATCTCAGACTTAAAAAATGGCTCTGTCATCCAAAACCCCCTTTCTCCCATTCAAGGGAAAGGATGAGATCCATAATCAGATCTCTAAGGAAGCATACAGATTTGTATTTATGGCTGTTTTGGAACATTTTTAGTCTCTTCTGTGATGTAACTCTAGACAGATATATTTAACAGATTCAAATGCTGAGTTTATCTCATCTTATTCTTATATAATGTCTATTCCTGACTGGTCATCTGAGGAAGGGCAACCCATGCACGTATCTATGGAATCATTTCCATACCAGTTACCTATGCTTTTTTCAAAGAGTGGTGGCTGATGAGATATGAACCAAGAGATATAAATTGCTGTATGGATTCTCAAATGGAGTTAAAGTTCCCATATGATATTCCAAAGTGGAGGCTGAGAATGACAGAAACAACTGAGGATGCAGAGTTAATCTTACTTAGTTGTTATTTACTACAGTTCAAGTAAAGGGATTACAAACTTTCCTCACAGTGAAAAAATTGACTATTTCAAATTTAAGACATGCTAAAATGAAATATAGAAGAATTCATCTTGGGATAAAGGAAGTACATTTTAGTAATATTTAGCAATCTTTTGAGAATTCATCATTTGACAAGAGTAAGAAGGGCTGCATATGGATTAACTTATTTTATGCTCACTATGATCTTATAACATTGGCCGTGCTATTCTGTTCATTATATAGGTGGCAGGACTAAGTTTTGCCTAAGTTCAGAACCGTAAGTGTTTTTGAGTAAGGATTTTATGCCAGGTATTATATCAAAACCCTTCTACTTCATTTGAATGCTGTAAGGTAAATTATTTCTCTGCTCTAGAGAAACATTGAGCAAATATTTCTTGAATATTGAGAAAAGAAACATTCACTTATTTGCCTAGGACACCTTATGACTCAGACAGCATGGTCCAAAGAACTCAGACAAACACTCTCCCTGCCTTTCCTGGACTGAACAGGAAAGAAGCAAGAAGAGTGACTTAAGAGGTTTCAAAGCAGTCTGTGGTTTGAAATTTTTCCATGGTAGTTTATTCATTGAAACCTATCTAGAAAAATGTTGTGGAGAGAATGTATTTTACTAAATAGCAGCAAAATTTCAAAAAGGTTTAACATTGTAAAAACTCCTGAGGTTTAAGACTGATACTTGCTCTTAATCATCAGGTACCTGCTAATGTATAATGGTTTTTTTATTACATTTTGGTCTTAAACAGAAGCAATGTTTTTCCCTCTTGTACCATGGACAGTATGCTCAATTTAATATTTTTGAGATATGCTTATTCTTGACCCTTCTTTTTATCTCTACTGAAATATTTGAAACAAATATCACATTACTTTCTAATAAGTCAACCCAAAATGATGAATATAAGATTAATATAAAAAAGTCAGCAGGGCATTCTATATATTAAAAACCTGAAGACTATATAAAAATAGTACTCCAAATTCTCAAGTTTCATCAATGTTGGTTAAAAAAATGTTTTCTAAGGTATTCTACTTCAGAGAGGTCCCTTTTGCTCTGCCACTATTTAAATTTCACTAGTCTAGACAGAATCCTAATTATGCATTATTATACTATATCACAGCCTACTTCCGAAAGAATATCAATATGTACGAAGCCAATGACATATCCCTTAGCTTAAGCATGTCTTAAGGGAGAGATAAAAATAGACTGCAAATGGGTACTGTGGACAAATAAGTCATGTACAATTTTAAAAACACTAAGCTTCTTTGAAAAGGAAAAATAGCTATTAGCATTGGTGGTTTGGTGGAGGGTTAGTAGAAAATGTGCACATAACAGAGGAGTAAAAATATGATACCAAGTTAAAAGTTTTAAATTTTAGACAAAGGAAAAAAAAATTGTGGCCAATGTTTAAAATATCTTTTTTATTCACTTAGTGACATGGAGCTATTTTACATTTTCAATCAATTTCTCTTCCACCTTGGTGATACAGCAATTACTTAGTAAGCAAAAGGTTTCAGAGAAGAAATAAGAACTACAACAATGCATTTGAGAAACTTTGCATTACAAATATCCACACACACTGTCTCATGAATGTGGCGAATATTAGAATACATGCCATCTAGGCTGGAGGAAAAACTGAGTAAGTGAATAATGTTTCATTTTAACACAACTTCTAAAATTCTCTTAAGTTTCTGTGACCACATACAAATATATTTTGCACTCTCAACTGTCAAATGATAGCATCAATTCTCAGAAAACAAGGCTAGCTTTTAAGAATTTAAAAAATGCGCTCTCAGTAGATGCACACACTGCTATAACATTTGCTTTTTTACTAAACATGAAAGGTTTGTGTGTTCCTTTCTATTCCATTATAGGAACTAAAGTACAGGCCCATGATTATTAACCTTTATGTCTCCAGCTGCATAGCAAATTGGTTCTTTCTTAGGGCTTACTAACACAGAACAAATACAATTTTTAGGGCAAAATACAATAAAATCCAAATAACTAGAAAGCTTGAGACCCTTCCCAAATGTCCTTCTCTCCCCCATTAATGTCCTTTACTTTAGGGTGGGAAGTTGCATGGAACAATCAATTGTGCCTCACCATGGATGTGGGATTCACCTAATTAACTTCATGGCACCTTTAGGTTTCAGATTATGGCACTTTACCCTGTTCCCCATGCACATTTTCTATCTTTTTTATACTAAACCCTGAGTAAATGAGAATCTAAAATGACATAATGTGTTTTTAAATGAGAATACGGCCTCCGTCATCATCAAAGAATGAACTAGCAAAGAGAATGCAGCTAGAAACACTGAGAAATCAGAAGCGAGCCTTTCCCTCTTCCAGCCATTGCTGAAGCACCGGCAGCCAAAATGAATTTCGATTCCCTTGTGATTTCTGATGGAAGTTAAGAATTTTAAAGGGCATTTCAATGTACCTTCTCACATCTGTAAGAAGATCACATTTCCCCTCTTTCCAAAGAGCTGAGACAAAAGAACAATGTCCGATCCACGCCAATCTGGAAGGATGGTGAAGTTCATGTTATGTGAGGACACTACAAAGGGCAATAAATTGGCCGAGTTGCCCAGGTTTACAGGAAGAAATGTGTCATCTACATTGAATGAGGGCAGTGGGAGAAGGCAAATGGCACAACCATTCATGTGGGCATTCACCCCAGCAAGATGGGTATCATTAGAATAAAACTGGAGAAAGACCCCCAAAAGATACTAGAACACAAAGCCAGATCTCAGGAAAGGCAACTATGGAAGACACAATTGAGACGATGCAGTAACAGAGTAGTCTCATACACAACCTTCATTAAAAACTGCTTAAATGAAGGAAAATGGGGGAAAAAATAAAGGAGCTATGATATTGTTATGAGCAGAGAAAAACCATCGTTTGACTTCCCCCACATACTAACATGTTCTTCCAGAGGAAATTTCACTGCAGGAGAAATTTAGAGGCAAACTGCATTCTGTGAGTGCGCCACTGCAAATTATTACATTATAAATCAACAACGGTAAATGCTTTCCTTGGAAATAAAGACTAACAAGTGACAATTACTTATTATTTATAACCTGTCTTCTTCTAACAAGAACTTGAGGAAAGCAAGAAAATGAATGCAATAAGAGCATAAGTGGCATCTCAGAACGGGCCCAGGGAAAAAACCGTGCAAGTAAATATATACCCTTTGCTAGGCACTGTGACATATACTTTGTATGGGTTTTCTTTTTTAATTCTCACAACCAACCTGAGACAGAAACCACTGCTCTCCTCATTTTGCATAGGAGAAAACTAGAGCTTGGAGATATTAGGTAAGTTGGGCAAAGCTGCATGGTCAGTCAAGGATGGAGCCGCATATTAATATTCTGGGGGGCCTCCCCTGGTTGCACAGCGGTTGAGCACTGGGCTGCGAAGCTGCCTGCAGCCTCTGCAGTGCCGGCTCAATCCCCAGCCACCAGCGAGGTTCCCACATGGAGTGACAGACCTCTCCTGCCACTCCCGCTGCTCCCCTCAGCAGTGTATTTCGTTAGTCTTCC